GGCGAGGGGGGGGGAATGGACAGAGTGAGAATTGGGGTGGGGCAGTGTCTTATCTGGAGGTCTGGAGGGTCCCGCACTGGATCTGGGGTTGGGGCAGGAGGGGGAGCCAGGGATGCAGCATCTCACCTGAGGGCTCCACACTGGGCCTGCTTGTGGGGCACAGGTGTTTGGGGGCTAGTATCTTACTAGAGTGCGCTGCCCTTGGTAGAGGGCGCTGCGGGGCTTCGGGGGGGGGGAGAGTAAGAGGTGTGGGGCAGGGGCAGTGTCTCCCCAGAGAACTGGTGAAAGGAAGGAAGGTGGCAGAAGGTGCTGAATGCTGCCCTCTAGGACTGGAGGCCAGTTGCCAGGGGAGTTCCTTAGGGCCCAGTCTTAGATGGATCCCCCTGAACATTAGCACAAAAGAAGGATGGGAACAAAGCCTGCTGAGGACAGGCACTGAGCCTTTGTCAACACAAAGAGCTGCACCGTACCCAAGGACTGGGTAACGCTTGGGGGCTGGAGTGAGTGATAGTCTCAGGGTGGTAGTGTGTGGAGTGCACAGTGACCAGACAGCAGTGGGAGGGAAGGGGGGGTAAGAGGCAGCATCCATGCAAGACAAAACTCTGAGTATCAGGACTGTCCCTATGAAATCGGACGTCTAGTCACTCTAGAAGTGCACTTAGGGTCTAATAGTTCCTCTATAACCTTGGGGTTCATCTCCTGAAAGCCACAGAGGGCAAGAGAGGCCCCAGGTACGGGCCCAACACAGGATGCCAGGAGCCACTGTGTGATGTGGCTGCAAAAAAGGCCAGTGGGATCCAAGGCCATATCTGGCGAGGTGTTTCAAGTGAGATAGGGAAGCATTAATGCCCCAGGCTGAGGCACTGGGAAGTCACCTGCAGTCCTGGTCACCCATGGTCAGGAAGGAGGGGGCCAAACTTGCCCGGTGCCGAGAAGGGCTCCCAGGCTGCCCAGGGGAGAGGAGAGCTGGTCTTAGAGAGCAGCCCGAGCCAGCTGGGCCTGTTTAGCCTGCCTGGGCAAAGACAGGGAGGGGACCTGGCTGTGTCTATAAATACGTGGGGGATTTTAGCTTCAGGGAAGGAAAGCAGCAACTGAAGCTAAAGGCTGATGCTGGCACAAGAACAAATAGGAACAAACTGGTCAGGAATGAATGGAGGCCCGATCTGCACAGAAAAGTTATATCAGTCAGACGGGGCCCCGCCCCGCGCAGCTTGATTCCTCTGGGAATGGGATTATGTGGTAGGATTGCTTGGGGGGAGCAGGCAGGGCTCGGCAGCCTTGGGAATCCTTTCTGGTTTATGTCGTATGTTCCTAACTGCTTCAGGGCTTTAGCCAGTCACCTGTAGGGCCAGGAAAGGGTTTTCACCAAAGGTAATTCTGGGTTGGGTTTTTTTTGTCATCCTTTGAAAGGTGGGGGACCAGCCACAGCTAGAGACAGGACACCAGGCAGGAGGGGCCAAGCGCTGAGCTGCTCCAGAGAATCTCCTCTCTAGCAGCCTGGCTGGTGGGCGCTGGCCAGTTGCTCACGGTTCAGCTGATCACTAGATTAGGGTCTGGGAGGGAATTTCCCTTGGGAGTTTTCACCTCTTTCTACAGCAGTGGCAGGAGCTGGAACCACCTGGACATGGCTCATCTCAGCAATTCCTTGCCACTGCAGGAGCCTTGGGGGCCCCTCAGTTTCCTCTGTACTCTGCCTGGGGCTCAGAGCAGGCTAGTCTCCTAGGGAGCGTCTACACTGCACCATAACTCAAAATAAGATACGCAATTTAAGCTACACAAATTGTGTATTTTATTTCGATGCTATTTCAAAATAGCTCATTTTGTCATTTGGTGCTGTCTACACAGCGCCAAATTTCAAAATAAATTGCTGTTCCAAAATGTCCCTTACTCCTCGTAGAAGGAGGTTAACAGAGGCGTTGGAATAGTGAGCCCGAAATAAGGGGCTTGCTGTGAAGACACGGGATAGCTATTTTGGGATACTCCGGTATCCCGAAATAGTGTTGCAGTGTAGACGTATCCCAAGACCTGTTGGATTAGTGGTGGTGATTTGTCAGATTAGACGATCTGGGGTCCCTTCTGGCCTTCAACTCTCTGACTCAATGGAGAGCCCAAACTGGGCCCAGGGGGGAACAACAGAGGGCTGGGAGTACACATGGGCTGTCTCACCTGAAGGGCCCCACTCTGGGCCTGCAGACGGCCACTCTCCTCCCGTAGGCCTCCGCTCTGCCCCTGCAAGCTCAGCAGCTCCCTCTGCAGGGTGCCCAGCTGAGACTCCAGCTGCCCCAGCCGCCCTGTCAAAGCTTCTTTCTCTGCCAGCAGTGCCGCATTCTGTGCAAGGAACATCAGCAAGTGAGGGGGGTCCCCAGTAATCACAAAGGGCCTCCACCCCCACAATCCCTGCCCCTCCTGTGGGGAGAGGATGGGATCCCCATGCCTCAGTCTCCGAGGAACCTCCCATTTTATCCCCCCTCCCTGTCTCACCTCAAGAGGCACCAGATTCCAGCTCCCATCCACCCCACCGCAAAGGAAGAGCCCCTCGAATACACCCTGTGTCCTGGACTCACACTGCGCTCCACCTCAATGAGATGCCTGCTCAGGGTGTCGCTCTCTGGCTCAGCCTGAAGTCCCAGCATGGGCTCAGGGGCCCCCTGGCCCTGCTCCTTGGCCCCTGGCACCTCAGGCGGTGGGACCCCAGTGCTGCTCTTCACCTGGACATGGAGAACAAGGGAGGGGGTGAAAAGGAGCAGGTGGGAGACTACTGCAGCGCTGGCCTCTCCCAGCAGGAGGCACTGAGGGGTGACGGAAGGGGATGTCCGAGGGGTGAGGGTTGGGGGCACTGGGAGTGAGAGTATGGGTGTAGGGAGGGGGAGGGCGGAAGGTATCTGAGGGGTGAGGGCAGGGGACACTGGGTGTGTCACCTGGCACAGCTCTTTCCCCAGGTGCTGGTTCAGGGTGAGCAGTTCCTCCACTCGGCTGCGGAGGGCGCTGATCTTCTCCTCCTTGATGACTCCAGCCGTTGTTCCAGGCTCTGGTATTGACTAGGGTGAGAGGGGGGCACATTACACCCCAAAGCCCCTGGAAACTGCCCCAGCCCCTCCCCAGATCCCTACCCCTGGCCCTCCTTTGCCCAGTTCCCCCTGAGATCCCTGTCCCCAGTACAAGTGTGGGCATGGCTTTACCTTTGCGGGGTGCCTTGCTGCTCCTCCAGGAGGCGCTGATCCTCCTCCCTCCGCTCCCTCTGCTCCTGCAGTCGTACCAGAGTGGCCTCTCGCTCCTGCCCCTTCACCTTCTCACCCAGCAGCTCCTGCAGGAACCAACAGGACTCTGAGCACAGAGGGGGGTGCGCCCAGGGCTTCCCCTTCCTACCTTCGCTACCCAGCCAGGACCCTGTGCACTGGGAGGGTGGATTCCTGTCACCATTCCCTGTCCCGCACTGTCACCTGCAGCAAGCCCCCCCATCCCACTCCTGGGAGAGGCCAGGCTGGAATAGCTGGGAGCGCCGCAAGACCAGGACCTCCACCCCTCCCTACAGCACCCCCTGCTGGGCCAGGCCAGGCTGGAGTAGCCAGGAGCTCTCTCCTGCTCCACTCCTTGCAGCTGTGCTGCTCCCTGCCCCCGGAGCCCTATTTACCTCTCGCAGAGCAGCTGCAGCCTTGCGCTCGGCTGCCAGCTGCTCCCGCAGCCCCTTGCTCTCCTGCTCCAGCTCCCGCAGCCGCTGCGCTGTCTCCCTCAGCCCGCCGAGCTCCAGCGCCTGCAGCCGGCTCTGGGCCTCGAGCTGGGCAGCTCTGCGGCCCTGTTCTGCCAGCGCCTCCTCTTGGGCCTGGGCCCGAGCCCGCAAATGCCGGGTCTCCTTGTCCAGCTCCCGGCGCTCTTTCTCGGCCTGACTCAGCACTGCCTCCAGCGCCCCTCGCTCGCCCTCCAGCTGGGTCAGGGCTGCCTTGTGTTGCTCCAGCCCGCGCTGGAGAGTGGCGAGCTCGCGCTCTGACACCCGCAACTCCTCCGCAGCCTCCCGCGCCTGTTCAGCCTGGCGCCCGGCCCGCTGCCGCTCAACCTCCAGATTGCCCCGGGCCTCTGCCAGCTCCCGCCCAGCTTGGCTCAGGTCTGCCCGCAGCATCTCCCGCTCCTTCTCCAGAGCCTGGGCCTCCGCCTCCAGCTGCTCCAGCAGCAAGGACTCCAGGCGCCGCTGCTCCAGCTCCTGCCGCAGCCTCAGCAGCTCCTGCTCCAGGCGCCCCCGTGCCTCCTGGGAGGCCGCCAGCCCCTCCAGGGCCTTGGTGTGCGTGGCTTCCAGTCGGTGCAGTGCGTCCTGCAGGCTGGATGCCCGCTCCTCCACCTGGCACAGCCGGCGCTCACTCTCTTCCAGTGCCTCCTGCTTCTCCTGGGCCCAGCTGCCTTTGTCTGCCTGGCTCTGCAGAGACTCCTGGGGCGAAGGGGAACAGAGCAGGGGAGACATTGACTGGCGTGGCAGGGGCACCTGGATTCCCAGATCCCTAGCCACATGCCTGAGCTGCCTTTGGATCCTTCGCCCAACCGCTAGGGAGGCAGGAATCACCTCCTCCTCCCCCAACACTGTGCCCAGACATGACGCAGCACTGGATCTGCTCCAGATAAAGACAAACCTGGCATCAGCACCAGGGACAGTTCAGCAGCTTAGTGGGATCCATTGCCCCCAGCACTGCTGTACTGAGGGATGCCTTCTCCTGCCCCCACCAGCCCCAGGCACCTCCTTCCCCGTGTGGTGGGATCTCAGAGCAGGTGCCTGCCCCAGGCTGATCACCAGGGATCCAGGCTGCCTTTGAGCCTCCTCGTACCCATGTGTCCTCCTGGCCAAAGACATATAAACCTCCCCCAGACTGAGAATAAAGCTGGATCCCAGGGCAGCAGCACATGCTGGGGACTGGCCTCCACTAACACAGACTCTGGTAGAAGCCTAGCTCCCAGGCCGGTCTGAGGACCCTGTGATGCTCTCTGGGCCTGGCCAGGCTGCCCGGCCTAACCGGCGATTCTCCCTGGGCACATCCCTTCTGGAGCCCAGGGGTCTGACTGCAGTTGGCCTGGCGGGAGGAGCTCACAGAGGAAGCGGGGGGTTGGGAGGCTGGCACCCGAAGGCCCAGTCCTGGAGTTGCTGAGGCCTGGGGAAAGTGGCTCTGGCACACCAGTGGGGTCACTGCCCTGTCAATCCACGACAACCTGCAGCCAATCCACTCCCCCCAGGCTCTGCCACAGCATGTGTCTCCTCCCGGGGGGAGTGAGGGGCTGGCCACTGGGAGGGTGTGGTGGTGGGATTCCCACCTGCCTGCCTGCTCCTCCAGCCCCTCGCTCGGGGTTCCATGCAATGGGACTGACGCCTTCACACTGCAACTAGGTGGGGGCACCATGCTAGGGGCACTCCTGGGCCTGCAGCTCCCCTCTACTGCCCAAATGACAACCTTTACACAGCGTGCTGTGCCCTGCCCCGGGCGCCGTGCCCCACCTCGCGGTGCCGCTGCTCCTGCAAACTGCGCAGCTCCTGCTCCAGCTGCTCCTTCTCCCTCAGCAGGGCGGTGCTCAGCTCCTCCCGCTCCTGGCAGCTCTGGGCCTCCTGAGCTTCCAGCTCTGTCCCCAGCCGCTGCACCTGTGCCAGGCAACTGGGGTAAGGGGGACTGGGCTGACATGGAGACAGACCCCCCCCACACAGGGACCACCCACGGAGATACCCTTCCCCCTGAACCCCCACACACAGACCCTCCCCGCCCACAGCCTCCTCCACAGAGTGCCTTTCCCCCACACTCTCCATCATACAACCCTCCTCCAAGACACAACCCTCCCCGCCCACAGCCTCCTCCTCAGTGTGCCTTTCCCCCACACTCTCCATCATACAACCCTCCTCCAAGACACAGCACAGACCCCCTCCCTCTATCCTTCTACCAAACTCCCTCTACCAAAACACAGCACAGACCCCCTCCCTGTAGCCTTCCCCAATACACAGACACCCCCCCAGGCTTCCCCAAAGAGTGATCTCTCTCCCCAACCCCCCATACAGCCTTTCCCCCAAGCACAACCCCCTCATCCCCAAAAACTAATCATCGCCCTGACACATGCTCAACTCCTCCTGGCTAAGGAATGGGACACAGGCGTGCCAGCTCCAGTCCAGCCATAGGACCAGGGAAGTGGTTGGCTGGGGAATGAGGGAGACAAGGCCCTGAATACTTCTCTTGGAGCCCCATCTCCCTCACCTCCTTACTGAGAGCCTTATTCTCCTGCTCAAGGCCCAAACTCATGGGTTCTCCTGGGGTCTCCAGTGCCTCCTGCAGCTTCCGGCGCAGTTCCTGGTTCTCCCGTTCCAGTACTAGCAGGCGGCCAGATGTCACCTCAGTCACCTCGTAGCTCAGGGACTTAGGAGCCTCAGCCAGGTCTGGGGGGAGAAAGTGTCACATCAATGAGCTGGGGAGGGTGGAGAGCTGGGAGGTCTGTAGCCAAAATGTAGTATTTTAGTGTTGGTATCAGAATAACTATAATGATGGTAATAAATTCTATATGATTTGCTTATCAGTTCTGTATGGTTCTCTGCTTCACCCCACCTTGCTTCTAGTGGTGATTTGAACCTGGGACCTCTAGAGCTTAGTATAGGAGCCTCTACTGCTTGAGCTAAAAGCCAGCTGGCTCTCAACCTAGGCTATAGAGCTCCCTTATTCTTATCTCTCACTGTAAGTGGTCTAGTGCCACTACAAGGGACAGCAAACCACACCAGGGATCCGTCTACACTGTCAGGTTTTTGCGGAAGAGGAAATGCAAATGAAGCACTTATTAGCATTTCTCACACTCTCATTTGCATATTCTCTCCCCAGTCTTTTTGCAGAAGAGGTTTTTGCACGGAAAAACAGAGTGTAGACGGGGTCATTTTGAGCAAAAAAACTCTTTTGCGCAAGAACCCTTATTCCTCATTGAGGGTTTTTTTGCACAAAATGATCCAGTCTACACTGCGTTTTTTTCCGCAAAAACCTTTTCCCCAAAAAGTATAGAAAGAGAATATGCAAGTGAGAGTGTGAGAAATGCTAATGAGTGCTTCATTTGCATTTCCTCTTCCGCAAAAACTTGACAGTGTAGACGGAGCCTTGGTGTGTGGGTTACATAAGCATCCCAAATTAATTTGTGTTTCTTATTGGCATTGCAAATGAAGTTATGTAAGGGTCTTTTGTTAGTTCTTTAATAACTATGTAATCTTTTGTCTGAAACGTTCTGTAAAACTGTTTAGTGGGAGAGAAAGATTGTGTGCATAGTTAAGGATAAGTGTGAGAGCCATCACAAATGCCCAGATGGTCAAGATGACGAGAGAAACTTGGAGATTATCAAAAAACACCCATTGTGCCCAAGGCTGAATGAATTGGTGAAGTGATGAACCTTGGGGACAGCAAAGGTGAGAAGACAAACAAGAGATAATCATGGGAAGCCTGACAATAACCACCTAAGAATAACTGCAGGAAACCCCAAAGATTAGCACCACTTAAGGATGAAGGATTGCAGCATGACACTGCAAAACCCATAGACGCCAATGGGAATTTATAAATATAAAAACGGGGTGGTTTTGCCAACTCTGGGTTCAGTCCTGCAAAGCACCTCGAAGATTCGGCTCATGACCGACAGACCCTAGCTCTGGAAATTTCCACTACATGCACCTGACGAAGTGGGTCTTTGCCCACGAAAGCTTATGCTCCAATACATCTGTTAGTCTATAAGGGTATGTCTACACTACCCTCCTAGTTCGAACTAGGGGGGTAATGTAGTCATTCGGAGTTGCAAATGAAGCCCAGGATTTGAATTTCCCGGGCTTCATTTGCATGATGCCGGCTGGCGCCATTTTAAAATGCCGGCTAGTTCGGACCCCGTGCCGCGCGGCTACACGCGGCACGGACTAACTAGTTCGGATTAGGCTTCCTATTCCAAACTAGCTGTACGCCTCGTTCCACGTTCCATGAGGCGTACAGCTAGTTCGGAATAGGAAGCCTAATCCGAACTAGCTAGTCTGTGCCGCGTGTAGCCGCGCGGCACGGGGTCCGAACTAGCCGGCATTTAAAAATTGCGCCTGCCGGCATCATGCAAATGAAGCCCGGGAAATTCAAATCCTGGGCTTCATTTGCAACTCCGAATGACTACATTACCCCCCTAGTTCGAGGGGGTAGTGTAGACATACCCTAAGGTGCTACAGGACTCCTTGTCGCTTTTGCAGATCCAGACTAACAAGGCTACCCGTCTGATGCTAGACCCGAGCTCCTCACTCATGTTCAGTCTAACTGGCTATTAGAGGGACTTGAGCCACAACGGACTGGTAACTATAAGAACACCTGGGAGGTGAGGGATGCAGCTTTTCATATTGCATTTTCCCCTGAAAAAGATTCTATGTGCTTCTTATAAGCATTACAGGCCAGAGGCGAAGCAGAGAAAGAGGCACTCACCATTGGGAACTTCATTTGGCTCCTGCTCCTCTTCCCAGGACAGGTGCACAGGCTCCCCCAGATTCTGTCTCAACTCCCCCTCCAGCAACACCTTCTCCTGCTGCAGCTCCTCCAGCTGCTGATGCTCCCTCTCCCGCTCCTGGGGGCAGAGGGTGACCCGTGTGGGAGTTCTCTGCAATGGCCTTATGAAAAGTGGGCATCTCCCTGTTGGCCTTGGTACAGTTACCCACTAGCTGCAGAGGGGCTACCGTGCTTTTCCTGGCACAGAGCAGGAGGCATGAGGGTCTGGCTCAGAGCGGGGATACATCTGCAGATCCCCAAAGACAGCAAACTCCAGGCTGCAGAGGCAGCTGAGGAGTGTGGCAGGGCTGTGGTGGAGAGGGAAGAGAGGTGTCGGGAAGCAGGGCGAGGAAGAGCAGGGCTCACAGCCACACCGTGGCACCCCTGGCATGAGCAAACAAGGGGTACAGGGAGAGGGTGGGTGGAGCTCAGGGGCAGCAGGGCCAGGGCATGGCAAAGCAGGAACTTTGTCCTGAGCCTGCATCCCTCACACTAAGACCTCTGACCGGTGATGAACGAAGGTGCCCTTGTTTTGAACCAGGTGCCTGGTGTTGCTGCCGTTGCTGACTGAGGCCTCACAGTGTCACGTGGGGGCTGGATTTTTCAGGCCCCTGAGCCAAGCTTTCCAGTGCAGAGCAGGCCTAAGGAGTGTTGTGCCCTGACATGGGAAACCTCTCTTGTGAGAGGATGGCTCCGCTGGACTCACTGCAGGGAGCCATGGAGAGACACTGGGGTAGCTGGAGCCCAAAGCCCCAGTTCTGGAGCCATGGAGGCAACAGGCCTGCCCTTGCAGAACGGTATGGATCCTAGAGGTCCAGGACGATAATCGGGCACCCCCAGGAGATGAGTTAAAGGCTGGGAAAGAGACCAGACCCTGTGAATCCATGACACAGAGCCTGCTAGCATAGTCTGAGAGGCTCCTGCAGTGGGCACTGTAGGGAGGGTCAGAAGGCTAACGGGGGGCAGAGGGGAAGTCTCCAAGGCACCGTAGGGAGTAGGGGAGGAGCACTGGCTGTGGGGGAAGGTCCCAGCCACTCCAGCCCGCCTTTTCCAGAAGAGGGCATGGGGGGAGGGGAGACAGATGGGGGAGAAGGGCTGCAGCATTTATTCCGATAAGTCTGTGTGACCGGGTTTCCCTTGCGCCTGGCTGCCTGTCCCAATGCACAGAGCTAGGACTGAGCAGGGTGGGGAAACGGACACAGAGGAGAGCTTCTCAGGAGACGCAAAGGAGTGACAGGAACAATGGCAAGCAGGAGCAGTGTCCTGGTGACCCCACTGGGCTGGAGGATGTTCCTCTTCCCAAGGCTCAAAGGATCCCTGGTCTCTCCTCTCAAGTCTCTAGATCAGGTTGGGGTTGAGCGAATGGGGAGAGGCCAGCCAGGCTGCCAGGGACAAGGCTGGCTGGCTGACAAACACAGAGGCCCACTGACTGACCCACGCCTGTCACCAGGGGCTGCCCTGAGATGCGTGAATCATGGGATCCCAACTGGCACCAATGGGGGGCACTTGGGGAAAGCCCAGCAAGGGGCAGAGGCAGTTAATCTAGTAACAGGACAGGCTGTGTGCAGGGGCCTGGAGGGGGCACTGTGGAGAGGCTACAAGGAGCTGTTTGAGGCCAGGGGTCTCACCTCCTCCATTTGCTCCAGTTGACTCCTCAGCAGCAGATTCTCCTTCTCAAGCTGGGGCAGGCGCTGGGCACGGGCCCGGGCAGATTCCAGCTGCCCCTCCAGCTGGGCCTTACTGTCCAGCAGGGCCTGGGAGAAAGCTCGTTCCTCCTGCCAGGGAAAGTCCCATCAGAGCCCCCCACCATGAAGCCCCGCTGACTGCCACACAGCCCCCCTCCTTCCATTAGCTCCTTCCAAGACTAGCAATGGAAAACCACCAGGCCCACTGTAGACAACAGAAAGCACTGAGAGGCAAAGGAGAACCACTACAACAGACAGGGGACAGCCCCGGCTAGGAACAGAGACAAGAGGCTGTTTCAGTATCACACAGAGTGTGGAGAGGTACCCTGGATACATTCACTGAGGAAATATCTTATGGAGTGGGGTGTTTGGGTCCTGGTTTCTGTGAAGCCAGCTCTGCAGCAGAGAGGAGTTTCATTAACTAGCCAAGGGAATTGTTCCTGAGCACTTGATGAGTTTGTTTTGTATGTAACTTCACGTCCTTCCCTCTCATTTTTGGTGGAATCTCTGTTCTTGCTTAACAAAACCTTTCGGAGTTTTATTATAAGTATGAGGGTTACAGGAGCAGTGATTCATGATAAAATTAATTAACTGGGGCCCACTGCTCCTCTGGGAGGCAGGGTATGATGGGAAGGCTTCAAAGGGGCTCAGGACTGGGGTGCACCTACTGTTACCCTGCAAGACAAAGACAGACGCAGCCCAGAGCAGAGTGCATAGTGGCTGACAGGCTGGGGGGTAGGGAGCTGACACCCAACTATGAGCAAGTCTCCCTCTTGCTAGGGATGGGGTAACAAGGTAACTCACAATCCTGGGTACCCTGAGAACTGTCACACAGCCCGTTTCTGTGTCCCTCCATCACGCCTCCTGCTGAGAAACACCTACTGGCCTCCTGAGCCCCTTGCAGTCCCCCCAGCTCCCACTCCTTCTGCCAAGAAAACCACCATGCCAGTGCCACCCTATCCCCCCGCCTTTATTAGGCTGTAGATGGTGCTTGGTCCTGTCATGAGCACCGGGGACTGGACTTGACAATCTCTCCAGGTCCCTTCCAGTTCTATGATTCTATCATTGGGCCTTCACCCCTTATTATGATCCCCACTATCACTCCACTATCACCCCATTGTCCCTCACTATCACCCCCGCAAGTCCCTCACCAGCTCAGAGCCTCCCACTGCCTTGTGACAGAGTGGGAATTTTGTAGGGTTTAGCCTGTGTGTGCCTCAATTTCCCCTCTCTGTTGCATGGCTTGGATTACATTTGCTTTCAGGGCTGACTCAGTCATGGGGGCCGTGTCTCACCTCCCTGCCTGGAGGGAATGAAGAATTTCTAAGAAAGTGGCTGAAACTGAATGGCTCAGCTGGGGCCAGAAGAGACAAGACAAGCTCCAGAGCTTGGATTTACAGAGCCCCCCAGCTGGTGACCGGAGGGCTGGGGGTGGTGACAGGCTGGGGGCTGCTGGAAATGGCCTGGGCCCTCTCCCCTGAGGACAGGTCAGAGCGTGACACAGTCTGGCAGTGAGGTTGCTGCAGCCTGACTGGGCTCTAGGCTGGGCATGGGCCATTTCCTTCCTTTCTCCGTGCACTTTGGTGTCCTTGCTTTACAGAGCCCCCCAGCTGGTGACCGGAGGGCTGGGGGTGGTGACAGGCTGGGGGCTGCTGGAAATGGCCTGGGCCCTCTCCCCTGAGGACAGGTCAGAGCGTGACACAGTCTGGCAGTGAGGTTGCTGCAGCCTGACTGGGCTCTAGGCTGGGCATGGGCCATTTCCTTCCTTTCTCCGTGCACTTTGGTGTCCTTGCATTAAGCCCTGAGAGCGGACAAGTCTCCTGCGAAGCCCAGGGACGAGGGGTCCTCCAAGAGACTGTTCCAAAGCTGAGGGAATAGCCCCGCCCCTCTGGATCTGTCACACACCCCATAGCTGCTGTGTCTCTCCCACCCCGTGCCACCTCACCTCCAACCTGCCCCGGCACAGCTCCAGCATGGGCAGTCGCTCCCTCAGGGCCGAGAGTTCCCCTTGCAGGCGCTCAGCCCGGGCTGCCTTCTCCCGCAAGGCATCCAGCTCATCTCGGTACAGCCCTGCCAGGCGTGCCTCACCCGCCACCGCCCGGTGCTGTGAGAAAGAGGCACTGGGTAAGAACCTGGGGTATTGGGAGTACCGAGAACAGGGGCAGGGCCCAGGGCAGTGGGCTAAGGGGAACAGGGGAGGGCACTGGGCAGGGGGAAAAGGGTCAGAGCACTGTTCAGGGCACTGGGGGGGGTGTGTGTGGAAATACAGTCTCAGCACCCTGGCCACCACTGCGGATGGGGTTAGATCCTGACACAGAAAAGGCCCTGATGCAGGGGATGGGGTGACAGCCCAGGGCATCTTGGGGGGTGGGACAGGTGGGTGGCAGTGACAAAGGGTGAGGGGCAGGCTTAGAGCGGAAGCGTGATATGGGGGTGGGCAGGCAGGGCCATAGCAGCAGGAGTGGGAGGGGCAGGATACAGCTGGGATTAATGGGGGGCTGTGGGAGGAGTTGGGGATGAGAAGAAAAGCTGGGGGGTGTATGCCCCATGGAAATCGCATACATGCAGAGGGCAAGGAAATGGGGTATAAGGGTGGGGGCATGAAGGAAGTGCGTGGATTTGGGGGATGTGGGAAGCAGGGTTGAAGCTAGGGGGGGAGAGAGTTTAAGATGGAGGGCTATATGAGGGATATTGGAGAAGCAGGGTGGGTGGGAGGCTGGAGAGAGGGTTGGGGGAGGTCACAGGATGAGCAATGAGATGGGGTGGAGGGGAAAGGGCAGGGTGGATGGAACTAGAGGAGCGGGGTAGGGTTGGTACCTCTTGTCGCAGCCTCCTCAGCTCGGCCTCCAGCTCCTGCAGCTCCTGGTGCTGATCCAGCAGCTCTTCGGCCTTCTCCTCCCTGGTGGGATGGGGTCAGAGCCCCAGGAGGGCACGTTAGAGAAACCCCATGATCTCCCCCCACATACACTCACCCTCATTCCCAATCCCATGGACAGCCCCTCCTCAGTGGAACCCCCATCCCAGGCTTCCCCATCTTCCTGGCCTTTGTGCCCCCCAGTCCTCTAAGGCCTACACCCCTAATCCATTCCCATCAGTGCCCCCCCCCACTCACAGTTCCTGGCGCAGGCGCCGGGTCTGGCTCCGGGCTTCAGCCAGTTGCACCCCGAGGTGCTGGCAATTGTCCCAGGACCCCTCGGGGGACATCGGGCCATGGGGGGGTGAGTTCTCCCGCTCCTGTTCCAGCTCCCACAGTCTCTGCAAGAGAGCTCGGTTAAAGGAGAGCAGGGGGCAACAGGTGGGGTGGGGAAATTTCAGGAGACAGCAGGAGGGGGAGAGAGATAAAGGAAGCTGAGTGAAGGGGAAGGGACAATGGGGGGCAGAAGTATGGGGACAGCTCAAGAAGACAGCATGAGGGGGAAGTGGTAACAGAGGCTGTGGGGGCAGGGGAACAAGGGGGCAGGAGGTGGAAAAACCCCAAGAGATGAGGGGCTGTGGAGAGGGGAAGAGCCCAAGGAGTGACAGGTTTGTATCCAAAGACCCTCCTCACCTCAGCACTTGCATCCCGCTCCTGCACCAGGTTCCGCAGCTGGGACAACAGACTCTGCAGGACCCGTGCCAGTTCCGTGGGATGCAGCTCAGCCAGCGCCCCCCACTGCAGGCTCAGCACTACCCCTGGATCCTGTGTCACCTGCAATACCAGAGCAATACAACACAATTCCCTGCGTGCCTGCCCTGGCACATGCCTGAGGGCCCCTCCTCACACAGCTTCCCCTCACATGGCTTCCCCTCACACAGCTCCTCACATGGTCTCCCCTGGTATGTTAGCTCCTCATATGGCCTCCACTTGCACACAAGCTCCTTGCACAGCTTCCCTTTCTATGGCCACCCCTTCCCACAGACCCACATCTCATAGCCCTTACACAGCAGCTCCTCACACGGCAGTCTTACCCATGCCTGCTGCCTGCACAAGTGCTACAGCATCCCTGCCTACAGCTCCCCAGTTACCCTCACAGGCCCATATGCAGGAATTACTGTGGGTGGGGGGTGCGTTTTTGTAAATGTGGACCACAAGGGTACAAATGCACCCCCCAGGGGCGACGGGGAATCAACCCAGCCTTCCCCCAGCCAGCCAGAGCATGGGGAAGGGAGGCTCAGGCAATGTGCCATTCTGGCCTTCCCCTGGCTGGCCACAGCACGCCTACTAGGGAGACCATGGGGGGGGGGTGTTCGCACCTTTCGCACACACACCCCGTGGTATCTGGGCAAGTGCAGCCTGGCACTGCCTAGTGGGGTGCCACTTAGTGACTGCCCAATGGGAACTCAACTGGGGGGACCCAGCTAATAGGAGCAAAAGGAAAGGTCATGCCCGGGGGGAGGTGTCCTTACCTCCTGGATGGCACCAGCCAGCACAGTCTGAGTCTCAATGTCCAGCCCTTGGATCTGTTCAATGATCTCTGCCTTCCGTTCACACTATGGGAGGAGGCAGTATGGGGCAGGGTGCAGAGGAGGAGGTACAGGGGATGGGATATGTGGGAGGAGGGCAGAGGGATGAGGTGGGAGCACAAAGGGGTGGGTGCATAGGAAGGGGTGTAGGAGGAGGAGAGGCAGCATAGAGAGGAAGGAGTTTGGGGAAGGGGAGGAAGCACAGAGAGGGGGAGGGATGTGGGGTCACAAAGAAACAGCTGTCAGACAGAATGCTGGGATCATTTGATTTTCCCTTTTGTTGCTAAGAACAGGAACAGCTCCCCAAGCCCAATGCGCTCTAGGCCCAGCACTGTAGGCAGTCGTCTGCCCCTAGATGGCTGCAATAGAGAATCTATCATAGCCCTTGACAAGTTGTCCCCCCAGTTACTTCCTGTCAGTGGGACAAATTTACATCTTATTTCACATCTGAGTTTGTCCTGCTTCATCTTCCTGCCACTGGACCATATTAGACCTCTGGCTGCCAGGCTGAAGAGCCCTTTGTTAAATATTTGTTCCCCATTGGGGGCAGGGGACTGGATTCAATGACCTCTCGAGGTCCCTTCCAGTTCTAGTACTCTAGGATTCTATGTAGGTCACCCATCAGTCTTCTCTTCATTAAGCTGAACAGACTGAGCTCTTTGGGTGTCTCATGTTTTTTAGTCCCTTCATTGATCTTGTGGCTCTTCTCTGAGCCCTCTCCAGTTTCTTAGCAGCCTTCTCAAATTGTGGGCACGCACTCTGGACATAGGAGTCCAGTAGTGTTCGAACCAGGGCATCACAGGCTGAGGGGGCAACGGAGAAACATGGGGCTCAGGGCCACTACATCCCTCAGAGACACCCCGAGAAAGGGAGAGAGACAGATGCCGATAGCTTTGAGGATTCTGCTCATGCTGCAATGCACAGCTCCACATGGCAGGTGCAGCTTTTCAAGGCTCGGGCTCATGAAAACACACTGACGATGGCCGATGCGAGTCTGACATAACTGGCTAATTATTGCTTGAAAACGCTGTTGGCCAGTCTCTGGATCTCTCTGGCACTGTGCTTCAGTTTGCAAAGGCAAAGGCGAGAAAAGCGACCTTGGTAACTAAAGGATAAGGGTAACATTCTGAGACTGCCACCAACTGTAACATTATTTAATTCTGGTCCACTTAATGTTGGGGCACAATTTGGTTTTTTGATGTTTGTACATTTCAGTTATTCTTAAAATTAAAAAGTTTCTGTAAACTGAGAGGAACCGATTTTGAATTTGCGTATACATGGCATGAATAAACACAGATTTACAGCTCCTAGCATGCACATGTATCATCTCATATGACAGGGACAAAGCAGGCATGCAAATCATGCACCAAAGTCATTAAAGGGGCTACAACTGCAATAAAAATAAGTTATTCAAAAGTTTAACAAATGGAGGGTGAAGCTGTTCGTCGCTTGGGGCACCATTTGATCTGAAGCGGGCTCTGACCAAGACTGGATGTTTTGTTTTGAGATCTGCTCAATAAGTTCAATCAGGAATTGTTTCAGGGCCAGCCTACTGCTTGCACTAGACAGGAGCCAGACTAAACAACAACAGGCTCTTCTGGCCTTCAAATCTATGCTACCCCAACCCTGGGGGGAAACCTGCATTAACCCCTGGTCCCCCTGAAAGGCTGCTCCATGTCCCAGCCAGCCTACTGGGGGCACAGGGAGACAGACTCCTCTTCTCCACTTCATTGCTACTGAGAAGGGGATCAGCAAACCAGGGACCCAGCAGTGACAGCTGCACAGACCCTCCTCACTGGCAGGGTTCACTCCCCCACACCCTGGATCCCCCACATACCTGCACAGCAGCCCCCAGCAGCAGCAGCAGCAGCTTCCGCATCGCCTCAATGCCCTGTTCTGAGACCGCGGGAGAGAAGGGTGAATACAGCCTGCGAGAGAAAGACCCCCACCCCTCCTCCAAGGGATCAAACTCCAGAGCCCATCGAGCCCAGCATCCCACCTCTACCAGCTCCTGAGAGCACACCAGAGCTATAGACCCAGTTACCTGTCAGGGGGTCTCTGGCAAGAAGCTGCACATTAGGGGGAGTCATTAGAATCAGCTGCTGCAGGTCATCCTGCAAAGGTCAGAGGTTGGATGTAAAGAACCTTTGGCTGTGGGGAGGGGTTCAGGGTTGGTGGGTTGCTCCTGAATCTACCCTATGTCCTCCAGAGGTGTCACTGGGGGGGTGAGTGACTCCCCCAGCTGCACGCCAGGAGCTGCACAGACGCTGACCACTTCCCCTTCCTGCCTGCCCCTGTGGATTGCACATTGCAGAGGTGAGAGAGGAACAGCTCCCTGTGCACGTAGCCGGGCAGAGCCATGGGCCAGCAAACACAAGTGTGCAAATGCGAGCACATGAGAGTGCACTGCTGACAGAGACACAAGTGTGTACATACGAGAGCACAAGAGTACACAGGTAGGAAAAGCGAGGCAGACTCAAGCATACTCCACAGGCCCCCAGCCACACCATGCCCTGGAGGACAGAGTTCTCTTTGGACATGCTGCCCCACATCCTAGCACCCCCACCTGGTAAAAGGCATGAAGCTGCTTCAGCAGGGCACGCAGGGTCTGGAGTCGCAGGGTCTTGTCACCCTGCTGGCTCTGGGGTGGCCGAGTACCCCAAGGAGTTGGATCTCTGCTGGGGGGAATGCAAAGAATGGGTGAGACAACCCCCCTGCCTGCCAATTGGGCCCCACAATATAGCCTGGGGTCCCCATTTATGCTCCTCAAGCATAGTTGAGAGTTCCCCCATTGCTCCGCTGTTGGGCCCCCCCAACACAGCCCCATCCAGCCCCTCCTCAAGGCCCCACAGCTGAGTCACCTATCAGGGTCAGTCCCTCTCTGCCCTTCACCTGGGCCCCTCAATGTAGCACAAGTCCTGCACTGCCTGCCCAGCTGAGCCCCCAGACAGCCCCAGCTCCACGCTGTCCTTCACCTGGGCCCCTCAATGCAACACAAGCCCCACACGGCCTGCCCAGCCGAGCCCCGAAACAGCCCTAGCTCCGCATTGTCCCCAGCAGGGCCCCTCAACACTGCACAGACCCCCCCACTGCCTGTCCACATGGGCCCCCAACACATCACAGGCCCCCCACTGCCTGCCCAGCTGGTCTCTGAGCTCAGGTGCATCCCCCTTTCTCATTGCCCCTCACTCACATCAGCCTCATGACCTGGGTGAGGAAGGCTCCATCCACCAAGTGCAGGAAATACTTCCGGGCCTTTGCCTGCTTATCTGGGGCGCTGGGGCTTTGGGGCTCATCCTGCGCCTGCCCCAGGGGCACCAGGCTCTCCAGCGTCCTCACCTGGGGAGCAGAGACAGACAGCACTGTTTCTGCCCCTCCCTGGCCTGGGCCTGACCCCAGAGCCTCCATGCCCAGGGGTCCCTGCTAACTCTGACTCCAAAGAGTCAGGGATCCCAAGGAGCTTCCAGTCCCGCCCCGTGCAGTACACACACGATGTGCTTCCCTCCCCTGGCCATTTCCAAGGTGCCTGTGGGAGGCCAGACCCAGGCCCAGGATGTCTGACTGGGGCTTGTGCCGACCCCATGCCAGGCTTGGGGATAGGTTCCCCCATCCTTGTCCACCTAGATCACTCCCAACCCTTCATAGAGCACCCCCACATCACCCCAAAGCTGCAACTCACTTCTTACTCCCCACTCCACCCAAGCTCCCATTCACCCTAACTGCCTCCAGCCCCCTTTCCTTATCTAGCACCAAGCCCCTCCCTGCTCCATGCTAGAAGGGTGGGTATAATGTCCCGATTGCAGGGTATGAGAGAGCAGCATCCTGCCCTGAGCCAGCACATTTCTGTGCTCTCCTCCCCACAAGGGGCACAGCTCTCCACAGGGGAACGGCTCTCACACCCCCAAAGGGGCACAACTCCACCCAGGGCACAAATCCCATCCCTCCCCGAGAGGCACAGCTCTCCTCTCCCAGCAACACTCACCCATGTGACAAGGGGACCAGAGACAAAATCCCCCAAGCTCTCCAAGCCACGCCCGTCCCCATCCATCGTCTGCTAGGTCTCTGTGGTTGGTGCGGCTCCCACAAAGGGGACCCCAAGCCCAGATGCGTCCGCTCCCCCCGCCCCAGCTGGCTCCCCCCACTCCAGTTTTCCGCGCTGCGCAAAGAGGAACTTCCGCAATCACAGGGTGGGGAGCGGTTGTGGGGGGGGCAGGGATGTCAGGAAACCAGCACCCACGGCAGCGCTACTGTGGGGTGGGAGGAAGGAAATCCCCACCGGCACTTACCAGACTTCTGAAAGCTGCCGGTAGGTCTCTCCACTCCTGGCTTGGGGGGAATTGGGGATACCTCCCTATGGGCCCGTCTACCCTGCCATCCCATCTCTCCCCTGCTCTAAATCAGCTGCATGGGCCCCTCTGGCCAGTCCCTCCCTCCCTCCTGCTCCAGATCAGACCTGTATCTTACTCCCCTTCTAGGTCAAACCCCTGGGCATTCCCACCGTGAATCAGACTCACGGGCCATTTAGCTCAGCAGCCTGCTTCCAACTGTGATCAGCCCTAGAGGAAGGGCCATGACAATCAACAGCCACAGAGCAGAGCTGGAGCCGAGGTGATAGGAACCCCACATCAGGGCAGGACCAGCTCTTTGCCTTTAATTGGGGGATGGGGTGTCAGACCGCCCCCCCCACACACACACACGTCACCACCTCTCCCCATTATAAACCTGAAGGCATTATTCCTGGTCAGATCCTGAAACCATCCAGCAGTGAGGAGACCCACAGTGCCCCATAGAGGACAGCTGAGCTGCTTTTTAACACCTCCCCCCCCAATCCCTGTGATGGGGAAAGCAACACAGCAGTCCCCCTGGGACACAGTTCTCCCTGAGCCCCTTTCTTCCAAACCCCACCTAACTGTCCCCCAGGAGTCTCCCAGTACCCACAATTGAGGGCAGTGTTCCCTGTAAGCTGAGCACTTGTGCGGCCACCCAAGAGAGATTCAGGTGCCCACCAGCTGATTAACAGAGTGCCCACACCTGGGAGAATGTGTTTCTACTGGTGGTGCCCATCCACTCATACCTCAGTGCACATAGCAAAACTTATTCTGCACATGGATGCAAAATATTAGATGGAGCACTGGTTGAGAGGCCTGCCCTGAAACCCCAATCCAAGGAGATGGGTCTCCAATTGACTCACATCCTGCTCCTTATGTGTCTGTAGTGCCTGGCCCTGGGTGGGGACCTGCTTTTGATGAGGTCTGTGCAGCACTGGCCTGACAAGGGCTCTGAACTGGGACCCAGAATACACCTCTTAAATCATTTTAGGCCAGAAGCAAATCTGCTTCTCATGCTGGTGGCAGCTGCAGGGGGACGTGCTGCACCCCCTGCTGCTGTGGGGGTGGGAAATTGGCCTCTCAGCACTGTGTATTGCTCTGGCTCAGGTTCCATCTGAGAAGCCAGGAGCCATTGTGCAAGCCGGTGGAAGGAGCCAGGGTTCCTGGCCCTGGAGGCCAGAACACAGGGCAGAGAACACAGGAAATGGCTGGGGCTCCTGGGCTAGAGGGGTGGGGGTAGTTGGGTTCCTGGCCTGAGGGGGAAGGAAGCCTGTGCTCTCTCTGGGGGAGGTGGAGAGTGGGGCTCCCAGCCTAGTGAGGTGGGAAGTCAGGGCTCCTGGGCTGGAGGAGGGGAGCCAGGGCATTGCAGGGCAAGAATTCTAGCACCCAAGAAGCAGTTTCCAACCACCTCCTTCCCCATTCCACCAGACATGAGGCAGTCCTGGCATTTGGTGGAGCACATGCGCCCCCCCATGGCCAGGCAGGAGCCCACACCAAGGATCCTGCTTGGGAATGGTCAGTGGGGTGGGTCCTGCATCTTGGGGATGCTGAGTCCCACTCCCTCCCCCGTTCCCAGATCTTGTGACTGTCACCCAGGGCTAGGGGAGAGCATGACTTCAGGTGGGCCCCAGTTCATACACTCAGGCACCCTGGGGAGACTCACCATGGGGAGGGGGTTGTAGTATGACCACTCAGCCAAGGCAGGGAGATCAGGGAAGCAGGAACCCTCCCCCATGACTCAGCAATGTTCCTAGAGCTCTTCCCACCCCATCTCTAGGGTATAGAGCCCCCTCACCCATCTCCCCCTGCTCATGTGGCCCCTCTCCAGCCTGTTTATTCCACACCCAAGGAGGAAAGAGAGGACCAAGAGATTGGAGAATGGGTGTGCAGGAGGCATGGGCAGGACAACATGCTGGGGTGGAGGGGAGCTGAGCAGGGTAGAACTGGGGGCTGGCACATGCTGGCACTTGCTTCCCCCCATGCTCTCTTTGTGGCTAGATTCCCCCCAGCAGAGACACAGAGGCAAGGCACACAAAAACCGTTTATTTCAGGTTGATACACAGCAGGGTGAGGCTGTACCCCACCATCAAGGTACGAGTGCCCTAGATACCAAGCCCATGATAGCAGGAGCAGCAGCAATGCCCCCTCAGGGGGCAGACTATCACACTAGGAGGATAAAGGGTGCTGCGCTGCCCCACACCTGGTGCTAGGGCACAGTGGGGAGGGGGAAAAGCAGCAACAGCAGCAGGAGAGCCCCTGGTGTCCTGGTGCTCAGAGCTGAGAGAGGATGTGATTGGCCAGGCTGCATGTCAGCCCTGTTCCATCCTCCTCCACGTTGAGAGCCTTCACCACACCATCCTCTAGCACCATGGAAAACCTGAGAGAGATGGGGGGCGGGGGGTAAATGCCAGGGCCCCCTCCCCTCATGCCATGCTCCACCATAGAAAACCTGGGATGTGTCTGCAAGATAACACAATTGCCTCCCCTCCACAGTGATTCCCCCCTTTCTTCCCTCCAGGACTCCCCAACTCCTACCACCATAGAGAACCCAGGGGGAGACTGGGGAGTTCAATGTGGGAACACAGCCAGGGCTCCCTCCCACATCCTGGAGAAGCGAGAGCTGAGAATACTGTCAGCTTTTCCTCCCCATGCAGATGGAGAGGAGAGAGGAGGTCTCAATTTCCTTCCCCTTCCCTCCATACCATCCCCGGAGGCAAAGGGGACACCCAGAGGCTCACAGTGGCAGCTGCAGGTCCCCTTACAGACAGGAAACCCCCAGCTCTCCCCGAGGGGTATCCCAGAGGCTGCAGCAGGGTAGGGAGCACACTGCTTTACCTTTTGCAGCGGTTGGTCCCAAAGAGATCACGCAGAGTCTCCTTGTCCAGCAGCAGCTCTGTAGCCTAGGGGAGAAAGAGAATGCAAGGGATGGAATCAGACAGAGCCTAGACACTGCCCCTCACAAGGCCTGTGGGGCTGCCTGGTCTCCAGACGTCCTCTGACCACAACTCTGTTGGTGTCAGGGAGATGGCATTGGGGGGCAGAACCCCGGAGGCCTCTAATGAAGGATGGGGTTCCATAGTCCCTTTCCCCACAGTCCCAGAGCAGGAACACCCCCCACACTTGGAGCAGGGGCTGGATCTGAGGACAAGGGGAGGAGCAGAGGTCAAGACAGGACAGGCAAATGGTGGTGTGGGAAAGAGAATTAGCCTGAATCTGGGCTGTGGTGCTGGTTAGGGGGGAAAAGGGTCAGAGAGAGGCATACAGATGAGGGGAGGGAGGGGGAGGAAATGGGAACTAATCCTGAAGAATGATGCCACCAGCTGGCACATGGAGGCATGGATTGGGAGGATGTTACCTTTCCAAAGGCTCCTGTGGGGTCAGCAAGCATCCGCACCTGGGGGGGAAGGGAGAAAGGTTTAGGGAGCCAATGGGGAGGTGGCTGTGAGGCAGGGGCAAGGGCTAGGAGTGTCAAGTGCTACACCCAATCCTGGAATTACACAATCTACAGGCCCTTGCACAACCAACAACTCCTGCCAGGAAGGGAAGTGCTCCTGGTAGCCTGGATGAGTCACCCAGGGGTGGGGTAGGGCTCATGCAGCCTTGGGGTTAGGCAACATCTGGATGAGGGAGAGAAGAGACTCCTCCTCTGCCCCTCGAGACTCAACACCATACACCCCCTATAAAGACACTGCTCTGGGCCTTGACCCCTGCTCACTCCCCCTGCCCTGGAACCCCTAGTCCCACCAGCTTCGCTCCCCTTGCTATGGCCCCGGTACACTGCACATTCCCTTTGGCTGGCGTCCTCACCAGCCCTCCGCTCCTCCAGGCTTTGGCATTGCGGCCCTCTCATCCTGGGTGCCATAGCTCAACTTCCACACTCACTCCTGCCTTGCCCCCCTTCATTTCCCTTGCCTTGGGCCCATGGGCCTTGTCCCCATCCCTCCTGCCCCTGCCCTTGCCCTGAGCTCCATGGGCCTTGTCCCCATTTCCCCCTCCCACCTTGGCCTGAGCCCTCAGGGCCTTGCCCCCATGCCCCACCTTTCTCTGAGCCTTGTGGGCCTTACTCCTGCTTTACCTTTCACTTGCCCTGAGCCTCATGGGCCTTGCCCTCACTTCTCCCCTCCCCCCTTTGCCCCTTTGCCTTGTGGGCCTTGCCCCCACTTCTCACCTTGCCCTGAGCCCCGTGGGCCTTGCCCCACTCACTCATGACAAAGACATCATTCACAGCCAGGCAGGCAATCAAGTCCATGCCCTTGGCCTTTAGTGCTCCGGCCTGTTCCACATAGCCCGGCAGGTGGGTCTGAGGAGAGCAAGAAGAGCATTAGTTTCCCAGCATGAGAGCAGAGTGGGGGGAGCATTAGACATCAGCCCAAGGAACCTCCTTCACCCAGCATGTCCCTCAGCACCCAGGGTGGGTGCTGGACAGGATATACTGAGCTCATATATGTGTCCCTTTCTCAGCGCATCCTGTGAATCCCTTCACTCCAGGGATGGGCTTGGGAGGAGGGGTGCTCTGGTGGATGAGTTCTGAGGAACTGGATGGGAATGGGGATACTCTGAGGAGTGCTTGAAGGCACCTTGGGATGGGGGCTTTTAGGGAGCAGGGAGCGGAGTCTAGGATAGGGATTACAAAGAGTGAGTGGGGGTGCTCTAGAGTCGGTGTGTATTCTAAACTGGGTAAGGTAGTGTGGGGGGGAGACAGGGAACTGCGGGGGGTCTCCAAACCTCACCTTGGAGCAGCCAGGGGTGAAGGCACCAGGCACCCCAAAGAGAATCCCCTTCTTGCCCTTGAAAAGTGCTGCCACATCCACTTTGGTATCAGGGTCTCCCTCGTACACCTCCACACTGGGCAGCTTGTCTCCAACCTGGAGGACACAGAGGATGAGAGCTGGGGGAAGCCTTGCCATGTCTCCTTCCACCCCACCACTCAGGGCAAACATCTTCCCACTCCAGTGCAGGGGGTAGGAGCTACCCACACTCAGGAATTCCAACTAGGAGCCTGTTCCTCTAGCCCCAGCTATAACCCTCCCACCTCTGTCCCAGCACCAACAGGGCATGACTAGAACAGATGCAGATGTGGACCCTATGCAGCTGAGGACCAAGGGGGGGGGGTCTCCCTTCCCATCCAGCCAGCTTCCTGTCTCAGAAGCTGCCCCCCAGGCCTGGAAAGACACCCCTCCAGCAGAAGCACAAAGCCTATGATGAGCTTCCCCTTGGCATAGGGAGAGCCCCATGTGCACCCCTCAGTTGTGTCTATGTGCAAGGGTGCTGTCACAACAATCCAGGGCAGGGAACAGGGTAGAGACTCAGTGACTCAGCACCTCTGCCTTGGAGTTTCCAAACAGATTACTCAAGCTCATAAGTTAGACACCTCCCCCAGTTCCCTGTCCCTCCTACCCACCCAAAACCTTCGGGATTGCCATGTGTACTTCCCTTTAGAGATGTAATAGTATAACTGTTTGAACAGTTACGTGATAAGTCTGGGCTTATTAGTTACCGTCAACAGTTACACACAAGCTCCCAGCCCTGCTCCCAGGGAGCCAGCTGCCCCCCCACGCTGTGGGCTCTATATCAAGAGCCTGCAGCACAGGGCAGCAATGAGCTGCCTGGGAGCAAGGCTGAGAGCCACACACTGGCTCCCAAGGAGCTGGCTGCTGCTGCCCCTCAGGGAGAAGGGCTGTAGGCGGAGCTGGTGCGAGCCTAGAGCCAGCTGAGAATTTTCAGTGGTTACAGTTGCTTAATTAACTGTTTTTAAAAACCCTATTCCCTTTCACAACCAATAACCCTCCCACCTCAGCCTGCTCATCATCCCCCCACAATCCCAACCAACCTCCACGTCCCCCACTATCCCTTACAATCAACCCACCATCTTCAGCTCACACCTACCCTTCCCCCAGCCTCTACCCTGTTTTCCCTCTTGCACAATCCAGCTCCCTCTGCAGGCATGTATGAGGGTGGGGGGAGGAGGTAGAGAGGCGGGGAGGTTTGTGCGAATGGTGCAAAAGCAGCCCCCAAGTGAGCATGCTCCAGCCAGCCAGGGGAAGGCTGGGGCTGATTTCCCACTTACTTGGGGGAGCCATGGGGGATGCATTCACACCTTTGTGGTGCACATTTACAAAAAGAGGCTGACACCCACAGAAATTCCTGCATATGGGCCTGCTCCGACCCCAAGCTCCCCCCACTCCCACCTCCTGCCTCCCATTTCACCCCATAACCGAGCTCCCCTTCTCTGCAGCCTAACCCCTCCCCCATTTTCCCCTTCTCCATCCTGCCTTTCATTCACCCCCCACCAGTCCTTTCTACTCCCAACTTCTCCCTGCCCCCTAGATCTGGAGGGTGTGGGGCGCTCGGGGCCCCCTTGTTAGGCAAGAGCCCTGGGGGCACGGACACAGGTTCTAAGGATCCCGAGGCC